CTGTGTTTTAAGGTAAATGTTGACCGTTTGGCCTCATATAATCGATTATTTAAGGGAGCACTATATTCACGGGTGATATTGTTTAATTTATAATCCAATCTATTATTTGGATGAAAGGTAACCATCGGGAGTGACTTCAGTTCCAAGTTCAAAGGATAGCTTATGGTGACAGTGTCGGGTGTTCCTCCAGTCTCTATCAGTTCAGTAAGGCTAATGTTTTCTTACAAGTTATTTGTTAAAGTCTTATGAATATATTCATTTCTGGTAAGGATTTCTTTCTTGGCATCCTGATTTATTTTATATCAATATAGATACACCTAAAAAAAAACCCAAAAAAGCAAAGCATACAATACCCTGTCATGCTTTTAAGATAGAATATGAAGATGAGGTTCCTGTCCCCTAGGAGATCAGTAGAACTTACTTCCTGAGGTCAGTTGCAAGTTGGTTTAAAGATGGGTAGAGTCTGTTCACTTGTAAGTTACATAAAACTGCTTTTATGAGTATTTATTATTAGGTCACTTAACACCAATAAAATTTTTATTTTGCATTTTGTCTTCCAAGTGAACTTTTATGGTCATATAATAGAATTCTTATAAGATACTATTATAATAAAAATAATTTTGTAATTTTGCATATGATTTCACTACATGTGAAATCACATATAATAATTTCACAGGAAGATGTGGCCTGACTAAGCTTTAGTCAGACCACATTTTTCTAATATAGTATACCAGAGTATACCGTATAAAAGAAATCACCATTGACTATTTATAATAGCCCCTAAAAAAATAAAATACTTACGAATAAATCTAACTAGGGATGTAAAAGACCTGTACAAAGATAACTCCAAAACACTACTTCAAGAAACCAAAAGAGATCTACATAAATGGAAAAACATACCATGCTCATGGATAGGTAGACTCAACATTTTGAAAATGACAATTCTACCCAAAGCAATCTACAAATACAATGCAATACCGATCCAAATACCAACAACATTCTTTAAAGAGATGAAAAAACTAATCATTAACTTCATATGGAAAGGGAAGAGGCCCCATATAAGTAAAGCACTACTAAAGAAGAAAAATAAAGTAGGAGGACTCGCACTACCTGACCTCAGAACCTACTATGCAGCTACGGTAGTCAAAACAGCCTGGTAGATACAATGACAGATACATTGACCAATGGAACAGAATTGAAAACCCAGATGTAAATCCATCCATCTACAGTCACCTGATCTTCAACAAGGGCCCAAAGTCCATCAAATGGGGAAAAGACAGTCTTTTTAACAAATGGTGCTGGCAAAATTGGATATCCATCTGCAGAAAAATGTAACAGGACCCATACTTCACACTATACACAAAAAGAATTCAAAATGAATCAAAGACCTAAATATAAAACCAAAAACTGTAAAGATCATAGAAGAAAAAATAGGATCAACACTAGAGGCCCTAATACATGGCATTAACAGGATACAAACCATAACTAGTAAGACACAAACTCCTGAAGATAAACTAAATAACTGGGATCTTCTAAAAATTGAACACTTACACTCATCAAAAGACTTCACCAAAAGAGTAAAAAGAGAATCTACAGACTGGGAAAAAAATTTTGGCTATGACAAATCCAACAAAGATCTAATCTCTAAAATCTACAGGAAAATCCAACACCTCTACAACAAAAGGAGAAATAATCCAATTAAAAAATGAGCAAAAGAAATGAACAGATACTTCACCAAAGAAGACATTCAAGTGGCTAACAGACATATGCGGAAATGCTCGGGATCACTAGCAATTAGAGAAACGCAAATCAAAACCACAGTGAGATACCATCTTACCCTGACATTACTGGCACAAATCAAAAAAAAAAAAAACAGAGAATAACAAGTGTTGGAGAGGCTATGGGGAGATTGGAACTCTTATCCACTGCTGGTGGGAATGCAAAATGGTGCACCCATTTTGGAAAATGATATGGCGCTTCCTTAGAAAGCTAGAAATAAAAATACCATATGATCCAGCAATCCCACTCCTAGGAATATATCCTAGAGAAATAAGAGTCATCACATGAATAGACATATGCACACCATGTTCATTGCAGCATTGTTCACAATAGCAAAAAGATGGAAACAACCTAGATGCCTATCAACAGATGAATGGATAAACAAACTATTGTACATACACACAATGGAGTACTAAGCAATGATAAAGAACAACGATGAATCTGTGAAGCATCTTACAACATGGGTGAATCTGGAGGGCATTATGCTGAGTGAAATAAGTCAATCACAAAAGGACAAATATAGCATGAGACCACTACTATAAAAACTCATGAAAAGGTTTACATACAAAAAGAAACAATCTTTGATGGTTACGAGGGAGGAGGGGATGGGGATGGAAAAACACTAAATAGACAATAGACAAGTAGTAATTTTGGTGAAGGGCAAGGCAGTACATAATACTGGGGAAGCCAGCACAACTTGTACAAGACAAGGTCGTGGAAGCTCCATAGACACATCCAAATTCCCCAAGGGACTGAATTACCGGGCTGAGGGCCTTGGGGACCATGGTCTCAGGGAACATCTAGCTCAATTGGCATAACACAGTTTATAAAGAAAATGTTCTACATTCTACTTTGATGAGTAGTGTCTGGGGTCTTAAAAGCCTGTGAGTGGCCATCTAAGATACTCTACTTGTCTCACCTCTGCAGGAATAAGGGAGAATGAAGAAAACAAGATACAAGGATAAGATTAGTCCAAAGGACTAATGGACCACAACTATCACAGCCTCCACCACACTGAGTCCAGTACAACTAGATGGTGCCTGGCTACCACCACTGATTGCTCTGACAGGGATCACAATAGAGGGTCCTGGACAGAGCTGGAGAAGAATGTAGAACAACATTCTAATTCACAAAAAAAGACCAGACTTACTGATCCAACAGAGACTGGAGAAACCCCAAGAGTATGGCCCCTGGACACCCTTTTAGCTCAGTAATGAAGTCACTGTTGAGGTTCATCCTTTAGCCAACGATCAGACAGTTCCATAAAACAAAACAAGACTAAAGGGGCACACCAGCCCAGGGGCAAGGATTAGAAGGCAGAAGGGGACAGGACAGCTGCCAATAGGGAACCTAAGGCCAAGAAGGGAGAGTGTTCACATATTGTGGGGTTATCAACCAATGTCATAAACAATATGTGTACTGTTTAATGAGAAGCAGTTTGTTCTGTAAACCTTCATCAAGGTACAATTAAAAAAAAATGAAATCACCATGGAGGAAGTTTGTAATCAGTTGTGTATTCACCAAATATGCTTCTGGAAATTGTCTTCTGTGTTGATTATGTTTCAGAATTCAGATCTTCCTTGGTATTGGGTAACATGCTGATCCTGAGGAAAGGTCGGCTTTCAAAAGCCAGCGGACATCCTGGTGTCTGGCCTTGCCCTCTCCTTTCTATATCCCTTAAAAAGCAGCTCACTTCTTCTATGGTTTTGCTTGTGTAATTGCCACTGCATGGTGGGGACGTTTCCAAATGAATTCTCAAGAATGATGTTGGTAAAGCCATCTAAACATACATGGGCTTGGCATGGTCATTGATATTTACACTGACTCTGTGACTTCTTTATATTCTTTATACCTTTAAAAAAAATTTTTTTTTTGGTAAGGGGTCTTTTGTTTTAATCACTTATGTCTTAATCATTTTTTCTGTATCATTATTTTGATACTGCTCTTAATTCAAGTATCTTACAAGGTTTTATGTAAGTCAAATAGCATTTCCCGTGTAAAGTTACACTGCAAATGATGTTTTTAAGATCCTTTGAGGTGTAGTGTGGACTTGGAATATAAGAATTCCAATCCCTTCATAATGACTATGGGTTTTGTTGCATTTTAAAGGCATTTGTTCCAGAACATTTGAAGAATTAGGTGCTTGTGTGTTAAATGTCTGCCACCTGATAATTATCTCAAGGGAGAAATTAATTTTGGTTTAGTTTAAGATTGATCTAAAGAAAAAATAATCTGCCATGTTAATTTTCAATAAGGGTTTATTAAGATGGATGTCCAGAATTTAGTTTAATTGCTTCCACACCTAGACAATAATGATTTGCGTGTCAAAATTAAGCATATTGGCAGGTCATCCTGCGTAAGTTTGGATGTAGAGTTAAAGTAAACTTACATTTTCACATGAAATTTCTTATTTAACAGCATTTATTTCTTCTGCCAGTTATTTTACTTTATTGACTGTGTTAATTTATCAACCCCCTCTTTTAAAAAAAAGTGAGGGGAAAAAAGGCCACAGCATCATCACATTTATGTATGTGGGTTCCCTAAACCATATGGTGATTTCTAATTAGAATACAAAGGATTCTGTAATGAGACTAACTTCATAATGGCTATAGAAAAAGAGAGTTTTCTTGAATCTCCAACAAGGACACTTTTGAGAGAAACTGTGTGGTCTATAGTTGTCTTTATACTAGAAGTCTGATAAAGTTATTGATGTGCAGATCAAGTTGGTATTTCGAAGCTTGTAATTTAATTCTGGATGTTTGATCCTCCCAGTCAGTGACTTGACTTGATTTTTTTTTTTAAAGCAGCTTCAGTATTTAATTTCACATGTACCCTCTCAGTAGAGATTTCAAAGGATACTTTGCTGGATGCTTGACTGCCTTGTCTATTTGCTCTTGTTTTGCATGCAAGAGAGAGCCAGAAGCCTTTCTTTTCATTGTGTACACATAGTATTAATGGATTTACTCTGCCCGTATCGTCTCATTACTGGAAACAGCTAGAAGCACAGAAGTCTTTCAGTGTATGCAAATAAGGCAGAATCATCTACCTGAGAGTTAATATTCTCTGCTTTTAAGTGTATTCTAAATCTAATGTTTGTATTTAGAGCATAACATCCTGTTCTCTTTTTTTTTATGGGCAAAAAGCTAAGCAGGCTCAGGCAGCTGTTTGATGTTGGCTTCAAGTGTTATTAATTTCATATTCTATTATTCTTTTCACTGTAGCACAAGTGAAGCTGATGTGGAGGCTGTCATGGATAAGTTGTTTGATGAGCTGGCTCAGAAACAAAATGATTGTACGTAAGTTAATTTCTCTTGAAAGAGAATACATTTAGAACACAATGCCCAATCTCCACTGACCAATTAATAAGTTCCATTGCTGTATATGGGTTGATGCCACACTCAAGTGGCAGTCATTGTATCAGCATTTTGTCTAATTTATGTGTTGAATCATGTGCTATTATTCATCAAGCTATGCATTTCCTATCTGTAAGAGATGAATTTTATAGTAATTATCCAGACAAGATTGAGTCTTTGTTCATGTTCCCATAGTAACTAGACCAAGGATTCTAAAAGTGCAAGGCAGAGAGCTGCGGCTGAATAAAGCCTGTGGAACCGTTGCCGACTGCACATTTGAAGAGCTGTGTGAGAGAGTAAGTATCTAGGCACGTCCAGTCTCGTTGGCCTTTCACATGTTAAAATACTACCTTCTCCTCTCTGCCTGCTTCAGATTTTAAAATACTATCCACAGAGTCAGAACTGATTTAAAAGTCTCATTAAGGGAAATACTCATCTGTTAATGCCTCTTGCTTTTTATAGATATGGGCACAAAATTTGCATGGAGGGGGCCCTAAAGCAAAATTAGAAATAGAGAACTGTGAACTGTTGCTGGAAGCATAAATAAAATCAGTTTTAGGGATATTTTGTGGAAGTCAAATATACAGGATTTTTTAAAAAAGATTTGAGATGAGCTTATTATATGGGAAAAGGAAGATGAAGTAATGCTACCATGATCCAAGGAAGTATAACATAAAGAGTTTCTGGTCCTCACTTTCACTGCCTATTTGTTATTGTCACAATATCTGACCTGTTGGAACCAGGGTCAAAGAAAGTGAATTTCATTTAACTGTGATATCTATATTATATAATAAATAATATATCCAGTAGAGAAAAAAATGTATATGCATCCACATTTATATAAGTGAAAAAGACCTTGATTGCAGATTTTTTGTAGATATGAATTCTGTCTTGTAAAAGACACAACTTTAAGCATAGTTCCTTGATTTACATGTATAAATTATCATTCCAGCTGGTCTCTAATTTATCTTAACTTTTAGGTAACTAAAGAAGAATTGTTTTCAGTAAGGGGGAAGAGAAAGTCTTTATACCTGACAGTTATTTTTAAGTCCTTTTCTTAAAAGCTAGTGATTTCATTACTTCTAGCCAGTGCAAATTTACAAGTTTTAAGCAAGAGTTTTAAGTTTAATCTACATTTGTTATTACAGAAACTAAGCGCTTCATAACCAATAAAGTATCTATCTTTAGGATCCTCTGACAGGATAATAAGGCCATTCTCAGTCAAAGTCATTATGAGTGATGGGCCTGTTATACTTCTACTGCCTCAATTGCATTAACACACTAATAACCTAGTAACTCCAGAGAAGTTTTATTAAGGCTTTCTATTCAGCTGTTTGCAATCACTTTGTCAGAGAAATAAGCTTGAGAAAACTCTCGTGTATCCAAAAGATGATGCCTCTGCCCCTCCACAGAAGGGAACTGGGGTGGGGGTGGGGAGAAAGGATAGGCCTGTTGAATCCGAAGATGGTTAGGAAAAGATTTTCTCTTGGAGCAGATTCTGAGTATTTATCTATATTTTATATATGCTCATTATTTGAGGAAACTTAGTACTGGGAAAAGGCCACTTATTAGCAACCAAAATATTTGTAATATGGGAGTGGTAGGGAAGAAGGTTGAAAATTAAAATAACATTTATAAAAATAAATGATTTTTATCTTGTTTGACAGAAATACAGATTATAGAAACAACTATGAACCGAACTCTTAGAATAAACATTGAACAAATTAACTGTTTTTTGGTATAACTTGCTTGACAAAATTGTAGGATAATAAAATATGGCATCCTTGACTTCATTGTATGGTTGTTCAGTCACACTGAAAATTTTTATAAAGATATTTAAGGAATTCATCAGTTTTTCCAAATTCCTCTCTTGTTTCATTAATATTTAAATTATTTTCTTCTTGAATTCTTGTAGTGTCATTATCCTTGTTTACTTTTTCTTCTTCAAGTTGGCCAGATCTTCATTTGTCAGTGTATGGATTTACCTTTTATCTGTGTTCTAATTGTGGAATGCTTACGACATCAAACAACTGCTAAATGACTGACAAAGGACATTTTTATGACGGGTGGGGTTAGCTGTAAGGGACGTCTGAGGAAAGACTAGATTTTTAAATGGTCAGTTCATCTTATTACGATGATTTTGCTTTTCTTTGCAACGTTATAAAACTGTAGCAACTCGGATCTTGAATACTTACATGAAGAGGACCCTTGAAATCATTCAGCTTCAGATATAGTCTAAAACTCTTAATTAGTTATAATGCTCTTACAAGCAAGGCTAAATAGTTGCCAAAAATTGTTCAGTAAAGAAAAATAAAGGTAAAGGTCCACAGTGTGATTGGGACAGTCCCGGCTGTGGATTGCCTGTCCTGGTATTCTGGGAGGCTCTTGAAGCCTGAAACTCACCCAACCACCGTCCTGGTACCACCAGGGAGCACCTTCGGCAAGGAGTGGATGAGTTGAGAGTCTATGGCTGTTATTTTGGAGCCGTGGTGACTTCTAAGAAAAAAATAAGTTTATAAATACGTCAGACAGAAATCTGTCAGTGTTCTAGTAAGGTAACAGAGGTTTTGCTTGGAAGCCATTGATGTATGCTGAAGGAAAACTAAAAAAATTTTGGGACATTCCCCTCTTTGCAAACATCCTCTCAGTCCCTCCCCACCCCCCACCCCCCCGCTCCCAGCACACTTCCTCAGATCAGGAATCCTGCAGTTTAACATCTAGCCAGGACTGTGTTTATTACAAATCTATAATTTAACACCGTCGTGCTCAGAGAAGCAGCGCAATTAGGAGACCCTATAGCACATATGTAATAATAATAGCTAACATTACCATGTATCTGGCATCATTTAAGCACTTTATATGTATTAACTCATTTAATACTTATAATTGGTAGGCAGTATTATTATCCCTATTTTGTAATTGGGAAAATTGAGGCACAGAGATTTTTGTTACTTTCCCTAAGTCACACAGCTAGTGGCAGAGCCAGGACATGAACTCCTGGGTAGTCTGGGAGTCACATTCTGCACTCTTAACCAGTACACTATGTCTGAAAATGTCCTGAACAACTTCTTTTTCAAATCATTAATAAAACTCTATTGACTATGAAGTACAATCAGATACTTCGTGAGTTCCCACATATGAGTGGCGCCGGTGTGTAACCATTCGGCTGCTAACCAAAAGGTCAGCGGTATAAATCCACCAGCCACTCCTTAGAAACCCTGTGGGGCAGTTCTATGCTGTCCTGTAGGGTCACTATGAGTTGGAATCAGCTTGACAGCAATGGGTTTGGCTTGGTTTTTTTTGAGCTTTTACGGAGCATGAGGCTGGCTGGGGAACAGACACCCTCCAGTCCTGAGAGCCCCACTCTGTGCTGAGAAACTTAGGACAGAACTGCCCAGTTTGTATGCTTTGGCACACACACTGGGAATGGATGCTGATACAGACCCCTCTGTCCTCCTGAAAGTTGTATAGGGCCTGCATTTTCAGGCTGGGGACCTCAAGCCTTAGGCAGTCTCATTCCTTTACCATTTATTAAAAATATTGTCATTATGTCTCCCTGCCATGATGGGAAAAAAGGCTGGGAAGCACTGTCAAAGAGAACTGTGGGGAGGGTAAAGGAGAGCAAGTCTGGGTGGCTGGTGCTCTCTGCCGTTCTCTCCATATCAGAGCTGTGGTAAAGGAAAATGAAGCAGACTCATCTCTGTGGCTTTGACATGAGCTTTCATTTTTCCTTTCTTTACTTTGGCACAGTTACCTGGCTCAGTCGGAGGGTAGTAGAGAAGTAAGAAATATGGTTACGTCAATCAGTGGTTCTCAAAGAATGGTTTGTAGACCTCTAGGGGTCTCTGAGACTCTTTCAGGTGTCCTTAAAGTCAAAACTCTCTATAATACTATTAGAACATTATTTGCCTTCTTCACTGTGGTGAGTTACATATTTTTTTCCCCTTTTAAAAAAATTGTGGTGAAAATATACACAATAAAACATACAACAATTCAACCATTTCTACATGTATAATTCAGTGACATTGATTACATTCTTCAAGTTGTGCAACTGTTCTCACTGTACTTTCCAAATTATTCCACCGTCATTAACTATATTCATTGCACCCTAAGCAAAAACTCCCCCTGTCCCTCTACCTCCCACCCTTGTAACCAATAATTTTAGTGAGTTTTGAAGTAGTGGTACAAAAGCAATGGTGGGTAAAACTGCTGGTGTCTTGGCACGAATCAAGGTAGTGGCACCAAATGTATTTTTTCTTCACTGCCACACACTAACAATAAACATTTAAAAAAAAATCATTTCCACTTAAGAATGTCCTTGATGAAGCAGTAAAAATTGTGAATTCTGTTAACTCTTGACCCTTGAGAACACTTTTATATTCTTTGTGATGAAATGCAAAGTACACATAAATGCTTTACTGTATACAAAATACAGTGGTTGTCTTGAAGAAAAACACTTGTGCAGTTGTTTGAGTTGCAAGCTGAACTAACCGGCTTTTTCTTGGAGCACCATTTTAACTTGAAAGAACAAGTGACCAGATTATGGTTATTCAGACTTGGCAGACATTTTCTCAAAATGTTTAGCAGGCATTTTCTCAAAAAATGAACAAAGTAAGACCAGCATTCAAGGAAAACAGCTGACAGTATTTGTTGCCAGTGATAAAATTTTTTTATCTCCTATACAGTCTTTATTTCTGTACAAATACATTTTTTTCTTTTAGTTTTTTTTTTAACATTTTTATTGTATTTCAGGTGAAGATTTACAGAACAAATAGTTTCTTATTAAACAGTCAGTACACCTATTGTTTTATGACATTGGTTAACAGCCCCACTACATGTCAACCTTCTCCCTTATCGACCTTTTTTTTTGGTGAAAATATACATAGCCAAAGATACACCATTTCAAAAATTTCTACATGCACAATTCAGTGACATCGATTACGTTCTTCCAGTTGTGCTGCTGTTCTCACTTTAGATGAAGGTTTACAGAACAAAGTAGTTTCTCATTAAACAGTACACGTTGCCCTATGACAATGGTTAACAACCCCACTGCATGTCAACACAGTCCTTACTCAACCTTGGGTTCCCTATCACCAGCTTTCCTGTCCCCTTCTGCCTTCTAGTCCTTGTCCCTGGACTGTTGTGCCTCATTTGTCCCATTTTGTTTTATGGGGCTGTCCACTCCCTGGCTGAACGGTGAACCTTGACAGTGACTTCACCACTGAGCTAAAAGGGTGTCCAGGGGACATACTCTCAGGGTTTCTCCAGTCTCTTTCAGGCCAGCAAATCTGGTCTT